ATGGCTAGTAGCCATTGAAAGACATCCTCTATGAATCTATCTAATCCCCCTTTAAAGCTGTTTATTCCTGTAGCCATCACTGCATCCTCTGGCAGCAAATTTCACATTTTATTCACTCTCTGTATAAGTAGTATTTCCTTTTGCCCATCCTGAACCTACTGCCCCATCAGCTTCAATGGATTCCCTTGAGTTCTAGTGTTTTGGAAAACGGAGGAAAAGTTATCTTTGTCAACTCTCTTCACCCCATGCAAACTTCATTTGCCACATTGTCACTCACTCACCCAGTTTGTGGAGGTCCTCTTGGAGCTCTTCACAGTTAGCCTAGGTTTTCAGCACCCTGAACAATTTTGTGTCATCTGCAAATTTGATCACTACACTACTCACCCCTAGTCCCACATAATTTATGAATAAATGAAATCATACCAGGCCCAATACCAATCCTTGTGGGACCCCACTACTTACTTCCCTCCATTGCAAGAGCTGTCCATTGATTCTCTGTCACATTCAGGGCAAAGCCTGGAGCGTTTACTCTACCCAGGATTTCCAGATACACAAATATAATGACAACAAACAAAGAAGATAAAAGAGCAAGGTCTACAAACCAGGTCAAAGTCAGGAAGCCAAAGGTTCGGTCCAGAGGTCAGAGGAAAAGAGGTCCAGGGTTTGGAACCAGTGCAGGATGCAGTGCAGGATGCAGGTCTGGGTCTCTAGCTATGAACACAAGCAAAGGTTAGCAAGGACAGAGTACAAAGGCAGTAAGTCATGGTAGAGCAGGTTGGCTTTCAGAAGTGTGTGACATGCAGTATTGCTTCCACACCAAGTCTTGCTCAGTGTATTCCTGATCTTATAAAGACTCTGCTCCAGGAATTAACACTGATCTCTGCTGGTTTAATCAGACAGGCACTACTCTCTAGAGCTGTCATGCGCTCCCTCCTTCTTCTGCACTCTGCTGGTTCAGGCAAACCCAGCAGTGACTGACACTCTGATCTCTGTGTCATCTCTTTCTTCTCCTGCCAGAATGAGCAGCCTCGCTGCAACTGGAAAGCAGTCTCCCTTGCCAATGTTTTTCTCTCTGGGTCTGCTTCTCCACCCAGCTGCTCAGGTGTGGGGCCTGACCCAGTTTGGTGTAGTGGTTAAGTGTGCAGACTCTAATCTGGGAGAACCGGGTTTGTATTCCCCACTCCTCCACTTGCAGCTGCTGGATGACCTTGGGCAAGCCATAGTTCTGTTGGAGCTGTTCTTGAAGAGCAGTTTCTGTCAGAGCTCTCTCAGCCCCACCTACCTCACAGGGTGTCTGTTGTGGGGAGGGGAAGGGAAAGGAGTTTCTAAGCCGCTCTGAGACTCTGAGTGAAGGGTGGGGTATAAATCCAATCTCTTCTCTTCTTCTTCTCTTCCATTTCCTCATCCTCTAGACACAGTCATTTGACCTTCCCACTCTGCTTCCTGTCATTTAACCAGTTTTTAATCTGTAAGAGAACCCATCCTTTGATCCCATGACTGCTAAGTTTACTCAGGAGTCTTTGGTGAGGTACCTTGTCAAAAGCCTTTTGAAAGTCCAAGTATACAATATCTACCAGGTTACCATTGTCTACATGCTTGTTCACTTTCTCAAATAACTCCAAAATGCTGGTGAGGCGGGACTTCCCATTGCAGAAGCCATGCTGATTTTCCCTCAGCAGGCTGTGTCCCTCTATGTGCCTAACAATTTGATTTGATTACAGTTTCTAGTACTTTGCCTGGGACAGATGTTAGGCTGAATGGCCTGTAATTTCCTGTTTCCCTTCTGGATCCCTTTTTAAAAATGGGTCTAACATTTGCTTCTCTCCAGTCTTCTGGTACAATAGCTGAATTTAGTGATAGATTACATATATGGTTTATAGAACAACTGATTCACATCTGAGTTCCTTAAGAACTCTTGGGTGCAATGCTCCCTCTAAGCTGTGGAATCTTGTGAGCAAAAATTCTACTTTGTGAGCTACTGGCATTAAAGTTGTGAGCTGCTGCATGAATTAGTTTGCTCTAAAGCCATCCTTCCTGAGCGAAGACAAAAATGTGTGAGCCAGAAGCTAAAAAGCTGTGAACTAGCTCACACTAACTCAGCTTAGAGGGAACACTGCTTTGGTGTATGCCATCAGGAACTAGAGACATCATTTTTAAAAAATTTCCCCAATAGGCCTAGAACTTCATCTTTGGTCTTCATCTCAGTCAATGGGGAATGTCACATTACCCTTTTAAAACCGTTATTGTACCATCTTGGAATAAACCGGTACAGGGACTGCCATTTCACACAGCCTTTCCCCTACTGGTAAGGAGCCATCTCTGAAGCGGTTTGTCATTTCAGACTGTACCACTTTGTTTTCCCACCCTTTTTCACCCGCACAGGCAATCTCTGTCTTTTTAAAAAAAAACTTCTTTCAAGAGCACTATGGCGCTGTAACACAGCCCCAAAACAGTGCAATAGCGACCCCATTGGGATGCCTGGTCCACTGAGATACATGAGATCACTACATCTGCCACCTGGAAACAAGTGGAAGCTCAGGTACGCACATGCACACACTTCTGGATTTGATTTCTGGAATGTTAGGAAGGGAGGAGGGGATTCCTGGGTAACAATTGCTGCCAATCTCCAGGTGAGGGCTACAGATCACTCACAATTACAACTGCTCTTCAGGTAGCAGAGATCAGTTCCTCTGGAGAAAACAGTGGACTCTGTCATTATACCCTGCTGAGGTCACCACAGCAAATTGACACTGTTTGCCCAAAGCCAGAGCACTCCCCCAGAGCCTCTTTCTAGATCTCGTTGTATTGCTTTCACAACGGGCTTTACTGCTAGTCTTGGAATAAACCGGTACAGGGACGGCCATTTCACACAGCCTTTCCCCTACTGGTAAGGAGCCATCTCTGAAGCAATTTGTCATTTCAGACTGTACCACTTTGTTTTCCCACCCTTTTGCACCCGCACGGGCAATCTCTGTCTTTTTTTTTAACTTCTTTCAAGAGCACTATGGCGCTATAACACAGCCCCAAAACAGTGCAATAGCGACCCCATTGGGATGCCTGGACCACTGAAATACATGAGATCACTACATCTGCCACCTGGAAACAAGTGGAAGCTCAGGTACGCACATGCACACACTTCTGGATTTGATTTCTGGAATGTTAGGAAGGGAGGAGGGGATGCTGTTTGTAAACTGTCCTGTTCCCCTCCCCTTCCCTCGCCATGACTGCACTCTCTTTCAGGCTGCCTAGAATTTAAAAATCTCTTCCTTTAACTTTTCTCCTTCAGGCACCTTAAATCAAACTGCTTCCCCCCACCGCACACAGTAGTTAGGGACAGGACAACAGGCTGCCTTTTTGTTCCCCTCTTTCCCAGCCTCCGTTTTACAAGTAGCTATCTTGTCCAAGGAGAATTCCAGGAACTCAAAACCTGTGACAGGATTGTAAAATCCCCCCTCCCGCTTTTCCAAGCCACACTAGCTCCTTCCAGCCTTGCAAACCGCATCCTCCTCATGATAGATCCTTTGCACTTACAGCCAGTGTTCCCTCTAAGCTCAGGAAGGATGGCTCCAGAGCAAACTAATTGATGCAGTAGCCAAATCACTCACTTACAACTTTAATACCAGTAGCTCACAAGGTGGAATTTTTGCTTACAGGACTCCACAGCTTAGAGGGAGCATTGCAGAGTTACATCTTATCTCCTGCCTACAGATATCAGTTACCAGGCATAAAGTGAATGCTGTGGACTCCATGGCACTGTACTCCATTGAAATCACTGTTCTCCCCAGATGTAGTGATCTCATGTGTCTCAGTGGTCCAGGCATCCCAATGAGGTCGCTATTGTGCTGTTTTGGGGTTGTGTTGCAGCACCACAGCACTCTTAAAAGAATGTTAAAAAAAAGGCAGAGCATGGGCGAAAAAGGGCAGGAAAACCTCATCATCGGAGGAAGCATTAGGAAGCATTATGGGGGCATTTTACACAGCACCCTGTAGCGCTTCAGGAACAGCAGAAGAAATTGAAGACTGCTTGGAACCAGTTTCCAGGTAAAATGGCTCAGGAAAGCATTTGTGTCTGAAAGGGGAAATATATTCCATCAGGAAACAGTTACTAAAATGGTTCTGTCTGAAATGATAGACAGAAACCGTTAGTGAACAGTTCCTGAAACGGAACATATCGGCTGTCTGAAATTCCCCAATGTATTTCCATGTTGATTTTTCAGCATGCCTAAATTTGCTTTAAATTTCCCCCCTTATTTCCCCCCTTGTGGAATAGATCTCTTGTTCTTCCTTTTTTGTTGTCCTCTTTTATTTCTTTACAATGGTTATTACTGCTCTGTCTCTGTGTGCCAGTTCCTGGAACACTGCATTTAGACTTCTGATTCTATTTCTGTCACCTTTTACTTTTGCCTAAGTACTTTTGTTTTAATTTAGCTTCTTTGGCAATTTTAAAGGTTTCGTCAAGTATCTATCAAGGCTTTTATTTCTTTTGGCTACAGGAATAGTCTTTGCACATTCTTCCTTTATCATATCTCTGGTTTCAACCATAGTGCTTCTGATTCTCATTCACTTGAACTTAGTAATACAAATCTGTTCTTTTCATGGTCTTTAGACTTTTCAGGAATGTGGTTTAGGATGTATTTTGACAGTATGAATGTTTTTTTCAGCTTTATTCTAAGTTTTTAATATTAATATTTCATGGTCTGTACCACAATTAGCTCCTGGTCTTGTTTTAGCAGACAGAATAGAGCTTCTCCATCTTCTGCTGCTGGTTATGTTATCTATTTAATTTCTTTATTGGTCAACAGATGATGTCCACATATACAATCATATGTTTGGTTGGCTGACATATGTTCACAATGAACAACTTGTCTTCACAGAATTCTATGATTCACTCTCCTGCTTCATTTCATGCTCCTAGGCTGAATTTTCCAATGATATTTTATTCTACTTTGTTTCCCACTTTTACATAAGTATATATTTGAGGTGATTTCTCTTCTGTACAGATATACCATATGAACCAGCCAGGAGGTCAGCTTGGACAAGCCACAGTCATCCTGCCTCTCAGTCAAAAGGTAAACTATCTTGTACCATAACTGATGAAGAAGAATCTGGCTTTGTCAAACCCATAGTACCCTCTTTAAGACACTACATAATGGGCTTCAAAAGACATTATGTATATTGACTGGCCTTATTAGATAATGAAACTGATATAAATTATTTGGATCTTGGAATTAGCACAGCTGTAGTTCTAAGGCTTAGTTCAAACAAAATGAATAAATCAGACTTGTTCATGATGGGCACAAATCTGGTTAATTGTTGAAGTACAGTGGTGGAGAAAGTATATCAGCCTACACATATCATTCATATACATATAAACTCCTGAGGCTGTGTCTGAGGCTGTGTCACTGGTGGCCTAACTAACCCTGGCCATGCTGTTAGAAACTCGTGTGAAACTGTTTCCAGTAACATCTACATTTAAGAAGACTAGAAAGTAAATATTAAATTCAGGAACAGAATTGTTTTTTCTTTTCATTCACCTGGCTCCCAGCTCAGTAGCAGTTCACTCATGTTCCAACAAAGGGAGATAAACCACTTAACTCAGCTTCCACTGACAGGGACGGATGGAAGATGAGTTCCAGGAAGGACTCTGTAATTGCCCTTCACCAGCATATTTGGTTGTGCTTAATGTCTTTCACTAAAACATTTATGGAAGACCTGCCCTTCAACAGAGTGAGACTGTCCTATACATCTACAAACAAGATGTTAGAGAAAGTGAATTGCTTGAATCCCCAGGGTTTCTCAAACCAGATTCATCTCCATTCATCTTTCATTCATCTCCAGATTCCAAAAAGTAGAAGAAATAGCAGCTATTAAGTAAGGATCAATACTACCTTAGGTACAAACACTTTAGGCACTTTGTCAGAGACAAGCAGCTGCAGCATATCTTCGGGACCATCTTCTCTGGTATGTCCCTGGAAGAGCATTACACTCTGCTGAGAGTAATCTGCTGGTGATCCCTGGCCCCAAAGATATCCGACTGTCCTTGACCAGAGCCAGGGCCTTCTCAGTCTTGGCTCCGATCTGGTGGAACACTCTGCCAACTTCCATCAAGGCCCTGCAGGACTTAATGCAATTTCGCAGGGCCTGTAGGGCAGAGATGTTCCACCAGGCTTTTGGTTGAGGACAGCGATGGTTTCCATCAGAGCTGGCACCCTCCTCTTTTTTTCTTCTTTCCATCCTGCCCACTTCGGCCTCCTCCTTAACCTGCCCATGAGATGGAAGAACAGTCCAGAGCAGGTTTCAGATCAAATTATAAA